CTGTCGGAGATTGTGGAGGGGCAATTGAGGGAGCATCCAAAGTGCTCGGCCCAGCGCTGCAGAATCTGTGACTTCCCGTCAGAAGCGTTGATTCGTCAGAGTTGAGGAATGGCGTTGTTCCTGTCGTTGTGGGACGGTAGATGACCTTGATCAGAGCGAAGAGGTTTATCGCTTCACTGCAATCGGCATATCTCTGAATCTCCCTGGCCGTATAAGCCATCCAGGCGATCGGAATCTCCTGCGGTTGCTCTCGCGCAAGGCATCCACTATGATTGAAGGATACTGTGTTTGCTTCGGACGGCGGTTGATGCGGCCTTCGAATAGACTTTTCTTTTTGATGAGCAGGTTCCTGATGTCGGCAGCGTTGCTGTCGAGCCAATCCTGATACTGACGATGTGCGCGGTCAAGGACACCCATGGTAGTCGAATGGGCAGTGTGCCGCATTTGGCACCATCGAGTCTCCATGGAGGAGTTTCGCTTGGGGGTTGCAGGTCTTTCCTGCTCTGGGTCAGTTGATTGCCGAACTGTAAGCGTGAGCAGATAAATTCAACAGAACAATATTTAACTTATCTGGTGGTCCCTTGCCTCGCTGATTCCTATGGAGTTGAGGACGAAGCCGCATTTTGGAGATGACGAGACGGTAGTCCGTCGAGCCATCGGCGTCGCAGATCGTCATGGTCAATATCAGGTCCTGTTGACTGCCTCTCCGGACTAGGACACTGCATTCTCTCTTCCCCTGCCTCGATCGGTTTTCAACAGATAGTCAAGAAGACCTCAACGGTAGGGGCCGCAGTTGGCCAGCAGAGTGAAAACCCGCACCTAGGCTTACCATCACACACCTCTGATCCACAACGTACACTGACCGGAATTTTACACCAAGAAAGAAAGGGGACGACTCGAATACCATTGAGTGGGCGTGGCATAGAAGTCAAATCCAGAAGGAACCACTGCACCATGGCCCTCGGTCTACTAGTCGGCTTATCCGCACAAACACACAACGGGCTGACTGCGAGGTCCGTGTTATAGCGTCAGTTGGAAACCCTTCAAGCCACGGCTTTTGGCGCAGAGCGATAGTCTCCAGTGTGTCAGCCTGGTTGGAGTGAGTACTTATGCACTGAGACAGTCGACACCATTTACTCTACCCTATTCCGTGCACCTATCGACTGTTCGAGGCGGTAAACCAACTGATGCTGATATTAGGAGGGGTGACTGATGGAGCTGAGAACAGCTCGTCTGCGTATTACGCACACACTAGGATTTCACACACAAGGAGATATAATGTTCGGGTTTAACATGCAGCAGGGGAGCTACATGGAGAAAGGAGTCGAAAAACACACTTTCCACCTACGTCAGATGTGTCGGTGGCGTGATATGCTGGTGTTTATGTGTGGTGAATGTGTTAGTTGATGAACGTTTGATGATGCAGTCGTGTCCGCTGCAACTGACCGCTGGTAAGATTACTCTTCGATTGCTAAATAACTACGAATGATTGCCAGTCGACCTTACGTATGCTGAAAAATTTCGACGCTAAGACATCGAAATAATGAATAGTGGACTGAGTGAAAACCAGAATGCCATTCGGAATATTGTCAAAAGACACGTAAGTAGTCATGTGAAATGGCGTTCCTCAACGAAGCAGTTCATAAGAAAATATCAAACTCTGCCTATATCATACTGTGTATGACATCATACAGCCTTGTCGAGGCAATTGAATGTGAACCTTCCAAGCGATAATATGATATAGAGGAAGACTCTCTGACATGATGACCTTACCAAATTAACGTTCCAAACAGCCTGATCGAATGTCCATTTTTAAAGTTAAAAAGCCAGTTAGTACCCATTGGTCAACAAGTACTATCAATTATATATTATTTTGCTGCCTTTTTTCTGAACACATACTTCCCAAGCACAATCATGAGAACTATTCCCGATAGAGAACATTGCTGTTATTGTAAGAGAATGGTCAGATCTCGAACAGTTGCGAATTTACATTAAGGGTTTAGGTCAGTATATATTCTATACATTGGAATCCGACTTCGGAAACTTCAGGTTGCATCAAGTCGTTCATTATAAACAACTGTGGTATACCTCACTTAAACTTAACTAGGTATGTATTAGCGTCAAAAAGCAGGACAGTTGTGAATGCTTATTCGAAGCCAATATTGATTTCTTTTGTTTGTTTTTGATTATTCATGTAGAGGAAGAGTCCCACGTACCTAGAGGTTCATAAAAGAAAGCAGTTTAGGGGCGTGGTGTCTGCAGCTGTGTTCTGCTTTCAGGATATAAGTGATCGCTGTATGTGCTGTCTTATAGAGCCGGTCCTAGAACATACGCTGGCGTTTCACAGTGATTTGCAGTCAGTACTTGAAAGAAAATACCGACAGAGACAAGACTAAAAGAACCCTTCTGGCTGTTTCGGCATCACTGATTGTGATAAAGCAACATAGGTTCGTGCACCTGATATCCAGACGGGTCCTTATCAGTCCCCGAGCATTTTTAAAGTTATTTTATGTGAAAATCGGACTATGAGCAAATGCCATATCGTCTCCGGCCGGAAATAGGCGAAACCGCATGAAAATATTTTTGGTGAATCTCACAATCCGGTTATCAGTTTAGACCGATAAATACTGCTATAAATTTGAATAATACCGATTACAGGTGGTATGACCTGGTTCCGTCGCACAGAAAATAACGATATTTTTCAAAAATAAAGGCTCGTAGATGGAGGTTTAGCTCTCCGGTGTCTGGCCTAAAATTGCCTGAAATTAGTTAATGGCAGCAAGTAATCGGGGAACGGCTGATTCAGGCTTTTCCATCTTGGCCTGCCTACTTTAATTAGACAGGCATGTTATATAAGGATTGAATTTCTGTCTAAACGTAAGAAAATCATTAGATTTAAAGTAGAATGTACGTTTAGGTTTAAGGTAAGGGTTAGGGTCAAGATACGAGTTAGGACTAATTTTGCCTGTTGCATACAGCCTTACCCGATCTGATTCTCTTTAGCGATTAACCTAGGATTACCTGCTTTCCGTTCGTTTACACGCTCCCTGTTCACATATTTCAAAATTACGCGGTCTGTTTAGGCATTTCATTGAAGTAATAAAATAAAAATATGGCCAAAATACGATGTTTATAGTGTCTTCAACAGATTACGTTAACTGCAACGTTCACCTGCTCTACGAACAGGACTAAAATCAACATTCTTTCCATATAACCAGAATCCCTGGGCTTTAGTTTCTCAGTGCACTTGCATGTCCAATTTTCGCCAAAATGTCTTGCTCACATAGTAGGACACCCTTGGTAGGCTAAACAGTTTAATTAAGTTTGGATCAATATCAGCGACTCCCTACAGTACAGGTTGCATTATTTTCTAGCAAATCAAGAACCTCAGTATTATTCGATCTTGTGTAATATGCAAGTATGCTTTTCGCTTATGATTTGTAGGGTCTCTAAATAAGAGGATCGTCGACATGATAACCATGAAATATTATCTCGACTTGCGATGTCTAAAGAACCGCTTAACAGATATCTGCACACGGTTTTTGTAAACTCCCATACATATAAGCAGCCAGGACCTTTCATATGTCTGTTTAGACTGCGATGGTATTTCATCACAGCGCTTGTTCGAACTGTCGACGACGAACTTATGTTTTCTGCGTCTAGACGGTGCTCAATCACGTAATCACATCCGCATTACTTTTACTATTCTCTGTATCAAGGTAGATAACTTAGATATCATACCTGATCTCTAACCCTCTTATCATTCTAGTATACTTGTTGTGGACACATGTTCACAGTTTTGTCACTAAATGCTTTGTGTAATTTTCTCAGGTCGTAAAATGGAAGATTCTTGACATAAACACGATCCATCTTTATATTTTCTGCTGTTCTGATCCCGCCCTTTCTTCTATAGTTAGGACCATAACTCTGTTGAACGTTTGGGTTTCATTCAGTCAGCAGTCAGTGAGGAGACGCGCACCGTCGACAAAATCGCTATGTGTCGATATTGCTTAATGTTCTCCTTATTCCGCTTCCTAGGACATCAGCGAATGAAAGCTTTATAAAGAAGAATTCACCAGCATCTCTTCAGCATTCTTAACAGTGGTTCATCTAGTTTCATGATTTTACTACCCAAAAGGCGAATCTTTTATTTACATTCAAATCTTTTGGAAGTTTGGGGAATTATATGCATAGGTTCTCTTTAAAAGTTGGGTTCTTTTCGTGAAAAAGTTAGGTTTTTAACTCTCCCAAATAATGACATAAAGTATTACTATTTTGGACAGGCACCATTGGGCATCACATGCTCTGAAATCTAATAATTCAAGTTAACTAGTTTTGAGTGGGTAACGTCTACCACCTTCAAAAATGACTGTACAGGTTGGGTTTAAAAGGGAAATACCGTAAGGATAAGCTGCATAAAGGAATCATTCACATTCAAGACAAACGACCTTTATGCTAATCGAAGTTCATTTCGAACTAAAGAGTTCAGTAGGGTATTTTACTGTGATTTCTTGAATTTACTCCCGTTAATTCGAAAGTGGACATATTAAACTATGCATAATGTAACACTGTCCCCTAGGCTCCAAATGTTTGCGGATGTTTTAAGTTTTCGGATCACATGTTCTTTTATGCTTCATGTCTCAGTATTTTTTTTGATTTGGCGTTAAGGAACTTTAACGGATGCATTTTCTAACGAATCGTGGTACGAATTTTGAGGTTCCGCAGGAGACGCAAAATATTAACGCAAAAGCAGTTGACTGTATATGGGTGCTTTAATGACATTGATGTTGTAAATTTATGACAAAAGCAATTGGCTGCTTAGAACTAATCCCACCACCGAAGGCACTACGAAAAAGATGATTTCGTTATTACTTTGTATGACCTAAAAAGAAAAATTAAGAACAATACGTTATTTAAACTCCTGAATTATAATTAAGAGCAAAATAAAACAAAGCATCTCAAAATATCGTTGGGATGAGTACTTTTATTTTCACCTGCCTTTACTTTTTCGTTGCTCTAAAAACGAAGCAAAATAGTTTTAGAACTCTAAAGCAGGATACTTAGATAGCTTCTGTTAGTTAACCCAATGCCATGTATTTTACCAGTCACATATAATAATGACTAAGAAAATTAACTACATAAATTCGAGAAATGTATGCGACTGAATCCTTGGTTTACCTATCTCATTAAAATAGCTTTTGCGGAGCGGAAGATCAAGATATATCGATAACAGACTTTTTTACTTAAAAATTATAGATTGGATAAGTTAAACCTTCGTTTATGATAAACTTGCAAACAATGGTTTTCCTTGATAATTCAATCTTTAACTTAACGTGTTTTTCTACTATAAAGGTCAATTTAAAGAATTTTTAAATAAATTTCCTGCTAGACAGCGGATAGAAAAGTGCCTTCGATAACTTTTGCTCGGAAAGTCATCGGCGAAATATATTTCCGAAGTCCAGTCCCCAGACCAGGGAAAATGTTCTTTAGAATGGTTTCTGACATTAAAAAAGCCTAAATTACACAGTATACACCTTGAAACCGTTATGATGATAACTTCCTTCAGTATTTAAAATCCAAACACTTTCCACTGCTGCAAACTTACGGTTCATTGGACAGAAGGGCCTCCAATGCGTTTGTTACGGTATTCTTCAGCTCAAGTCTAACATAAAAATGTTTTTAAAAATTGATTGCGAAGAATCTATATGAAATTTAGATCATTCCAAGTCTTTGAAATACTACACTTACCTAAGCGCGTTGGCGTCTGTCACAGTGAACCCGCCACGTTCGAATCTGCAAGAATAACAAGTGTAGAGATGAGTGCATTCTTAAAGCCGTATAAGAAATAAAAATGTCGGAATGACGCAATTCCCTCCAAGGACTTTGAGCGTGTTATTTGCTCTATCGTTTTCTTTGGGTTTGAACAAAAAGGACAAGCCTACGCGAATTTTTTTCCACGCCTCGCGCCTAGCGCTTGCGGGCTTTCGCGAGAAACAATAAATGCTTGAAACTCACAGGTCTCTGAGTCCTCTGTTGTCGATTATGTAAGAAGATGCCGAGGCTATGAACGGAGTTAGGAGGGAGAAACAGCTTTTCCCCTCCTTCCGATCGCGAATTAGTCTGATCACTTTCCTGCAAAGAAAAAACTGTGTACGGCAGCAGTTTTGCACTTTTCATAAAAAATGGTCTTTACAGACAAATACATTAAAAAGCAAAAGTTGGGTATATAGGCAGAATGGAAAATATATCGGTCCTGGAAATATCGCTAAAATTACATTCGCAGAATCCTAAACATACTTAAGATGATATGCAGCTGTTGTAACATCGTCTCGTTAAGTGGCTGTTTAACAGTCGCATCGGACGATGCCCGCCGTGTGCTCCACAGCAAGGTAAAGCAAGCACGGTGACTTGCGCGTGAATTATTCTATAGGGATTTTAGACTTTCGCGGCATCTCTCGCACTGTCTCTCTCTCTTCCTCCCCGGGTCCGGTGTGCAGACAGATTCAGGCAGAACGGAAGCCGGGGGGTACAGGAAGATGTCGCGGCCAGGCCGCACCTTAGCACTCTACTTCACACCCCTGGTCTATACAACAAACTGCCAGGATTTTAATTAACAACATCAACACCACGACGGGTTAGAAAGACGAGGATGTCTGGGCAGCCGTGCTCACGAACTGTATACCCAGTGGGACCGCAAGCGTATATACCGGCAGGAGACAGGATGTCATTGAACTGCCAGCTCAAACAAGCCTATGAGGGTCATGCTTTGTTGACCGTGGCATAGCAGACGCTTACAGGCCGTTATGCACATCCCGTTAAGTACGAATTAAAGAAGAACTTCCTTCCTTTTAAGCTGTATCTGCTAAGGAGCTTGTAACGAAGGCCGGCTATCTTGGAAAACAAAACCATTCAAGAACATCCATATTTTGCCGTGATTATTTAACTTCAGGCCTTCAGGTTTTACGAACATCTATCTGAATAGAAACAACGTGTCTGAGTTTTGTCTGTTAGCTAGCGTCTCGTTTACTAACTTTCTGTCTGTCTGTAGTTTGTTTTACATCGGGAATGTTGCAAAAGATTTTCTAGCCATATTTTGAGGAAATATTATCGCATACATTTATGCTCGCAATGTGGAATATACAACACGCACCAAGGGTCACCAGGACATCATAAAATCTCTATTAAATGTGATCAAATGGGATGCGCAATTTAGAATTTAATGGTTATATTGCTGTCTACTTAACCTCGTCTAACTATGACGACGTTATGTCCTCAAAGGGTAAGTTAATAATGATACCCAGGAGATTTCCTCTGTTTTTACAGCTTTAATTTTACTTCCTTGATGGTTAAAACGAGATGAGTGCGTGTAAAGTTAGTAAGGAAATAAAAAATTAATCTCCTGTGCAGCATCATACAAAGACCATTTTCGTTTTGCGTTTGTTAATGTAGGTTAGTGAATCAGCGGCCCATATCTCCTTCAATGCAAAAGCAAATTAAAATTGTGCTGCTTGTATCCCAGCGTGGCTTTCGCTCGAATCTAGCAATTAGTTGCTAATACGACGACAGTTAAAAACTTTGAAAAACTGCCGATTCTACGTGTAAGTTTTAAAACATGCATAGTATTTTTCAAAAAGACGTACATTATGGTCAGTCCAAGATGCTTCATGTAGGCACCTGTTGTGTAGTTTCCCTTCCTTCCGGTAAAAATGTTAAAAAACATACTCATTTTTCATGTTAATAATGTGGCAGTGAAACTAGATTAAACTTGGCAGAAATTTCAAAAAACAAAAATTACTACCATAAACCCTCTTTTGATCTCCAAAATACCTCAAAATGTTTTTTAAAGCTCGACAAAGTTGGAGGTAAGACCAAAATCAACTACACCTTGGACATCCCAGGTAAAAAAAACTCAGCTTTAAATCGCTTGCATCCAAAGCTCATGGATGGAAATATTTTTAAAACAAATCCCTTTAGTTACTGATGGCGTGTAGGTCAAACAAAAACCATTTTCATTAGAGCAAATATGTTTGGGTAATTTCCCATCACTTTAAGGTATATGTCTGTCTGTAATTACAAACATAGACTTTCACAGAGCATAATTCTAAGTGTGTTAGCAAACGCTTACAGGTATTCCTTGATCGCCTTGTCGTGTGGCTCATTGTAATAGAAGTAGATCGGTTTCCTACGAATAAAGAATATCAACTATCGTCACACATCCTTATTTATACTATGTATTGGAAAAATAATGCTTTTTATGCATACTAGACCCTGGATACTTTCCGAATATGAAAAGATACTGGAACATCGAAGAAGACTTGGTTTCACTCATTCTTTACTTAAGACATCTATATTGATTAGACATTATGTTGCAAAGACAAATAATAAAAACTTCTATAATTGTGAAAGAATCTCTAAACGCGTTGCCAAAATCCCAAACTAAATTTTATCCCAAATACATCATTTCTATCTAGTATTAAATAGTGTCAATTATGCCACCGTACCAGATAGAGTTGACGGCGGTAGAATTCAGTCCATCTATAAGGCTAAAAGCAAGAGGCAGCAAATTAGAGCTCAGACAAAGAACTCGCTGGAATAGTGAAATTAGTTGACCTGAACATTCACAGTTATTCTAATTGCAGTTGGTCGACAAATTTAATAACTTGTTCGTATTGATCGTAAAAGCTGGGACAGTGTTTGATATTTTTATAGAATCAGAAATAGCGATAAAAGCAACATGGCCCCAACATGGGTATTTTATTTACATGACATCTATGATTGGTCTAACTTGGCCAAACAGTGTCAGTGGAATCTTTTTGCACTTGTGAACGTTGTATCAGGAATTTATATAATTGAATTAAGAAAAATACTGCCCTTCTCATTGTACTTACTGCATGGGAAAATAATTCCGTTTCCCTACCAAAGTTGCCGAAGCATTTTGGTTTCTTGTCCTACGACCGGCTAAGACCTCTTGAACATACTGCTGCTTTTGCTGCTGCGTCTGCTGCTGCTGCTGCTGATGGTGGTGGTGGTGGTGGTGGTGGTGGTGGTAGTAGTAGATAAACACATGTAATTTAGCACTACTCTATATTTTGACTGTCATGAGGGCTCAGCAGCAGATGTTCATAAGCAGTTAGCGCATGAAAGGCAGAAGGAAGTGGGCGAACCACTTAAGACATACTTCTCACATTCATCCGCGCCACATTTGATGTCCATGCTGTAGATCCTTGAAAAAAACACAATTTCAATATTTGGATTGATAAAGGATTGAAACTAACTCATGCTTTAAAGGAACTTAACGTACAGATTGAAAAGACCATCTAGCTTCAGGTCTTCTATCATCTGTTTTGAAAACTCCCAAGTCATGTACGTTTTCCTAAAAGGTGTGCAAGTAAATTACATTAAAGTTACTGCAAGGCACTTTAAATGACAGAAACATCTTATCCTTAACTTTGATGGTTGGCGAAATCTGAACAAAGACCTTACTCTCCTCTTTCTCATAATGGAATCTATTATTAGCTAACCTGAAAGGAACTAAGAACGCAGATTCATATTGCATAACTTAAATTCTTCAGTTCCCTAAGTCAGGAAACAAATGAGATACTTGCTTAAGTTACTACTTCGCGTCCACACAGAGGGACCTGTTCCCCAACTACTAATAGATCTAACGACCTTAAAGAGAAATTTAATACGTGTCTACATGTTCTAATGGCAATAGAGGGCATTTTGATCTAAGACTTGTTGGAGAAAAATTTAACTGCTAAAAATAATGTTACTGGGAAACAAAAAAAAACTATAGATCCGCATAGAAAAAGTATTTCCGATCAAACCAGCTAAGTGAAATTAGCTCGCCGACATTACGTTCGATAGTCATTATCCCACTCCTGACGAATTTCTTCCAATGTTTTGCGATTTCCGAAGACCCATGAGCTATTGCGCATAAAAAGTACAAGCCGAAATTTACGAAATTGTAAAACCGTTTAAACAGCAATCATCAAAACTATACACTTTGCCTACGAGAAGATAATAATGAAAATGTCTGTAGATATTTGCAGTCCATGATTGTTTTAATAATATTGTTTACGGATCTAAGTGAATTCTAGAGTCGTTAAAATCTTCAAAGTTAAAGTGACAAATGCCTAGGAAACGGTCGTATTCAAACAATCGGCGAGTGCTTTCCTCTCGTTACACAAGTGTAATTTTATCCTTTCCTACTAGCTTTGGAAATAACTTGCCAGTTAGGCATATAGAAATTTAGTCACATAAACTAAATCATGTTCCTTAGCAAGAGAGAATTTAAGTATTTTTAAAAGAATATATTCTAAGTGTTACGATTAATTACCTGTTTCCATGCTCCTTCTCATGAAGATTCAACGACTCATTACGAAGGTCTATGAGGCTTAAAATTAAAACACATCAAGGCTTCTCAAATAAAAATTATTTTGACTTTTTTCTTAAACAGAGTGTAAAATAAAAACATTCTCCATACCAGGCATTAAAAGCGGCAAATAAATACAGCTTGTGAACAACTAAAAAGGAGTTGTTGATTCTTGCGCATTGCCAAAAAACATGGAGATATGATTTAAATTTGGTGGGAATCTTAAGAGTATACACAAAGTGAGTGAAAAATAGCGTAGTAGATTGAAGACATCCCCCACAGATAATCCTAGTAAAAGACACCTTGGAAGCTTCGTCCGGACAGGTTTTATTTTTATGTAGTTTTAGGTCATCTAGAAAACTAAGCCATTATTAGTACTACAAATTCCTACCTATTCAGCTTAAATTCGTTACACAAACGGCCCTTGCTTAATACTATCAATTAAGGTTAAACGTGATAACTTCAGGACGGTTCCCATAAAAGTTGACATTCACGGAATTTAGATTGTCCTACACTTCCTTATCTACGTCAAAATATTATTTTCGAAATGCAGATCTAATGCGCTGCTCCTTGTTCCTTACATATGTTTCACATATGACTGCCTTGTCTTCTGCCTTGCTCTGGGACTTTCGAAGACGGCGAAAGTTTTCATACTGCTCCCCAGTGAAGTATGCGCAAATTAACTCGAAGATATAATCACAATAGGTGCCCGTCCATCTGAGTATTTTTGTAATCTTATCTTCAAAATTTTCAACTTACGCAGGGATAAGCTCTTCGGCCTTTATTAATTGCAAGATCAGGTTTTTGTCTTCACTCAGCATGTATCTAAATAGAAGAGGGTGTGTGTAAATGGATGTTTTTCACCAGAAACCAAAAGCTCGGGTGCATCTGCAGTCAGTTTCTCAATGTGTGTATGCTTTTCTTTCTGGAGAATTGTATAAGCTTAAAAAAATAAACTCATCCATTTTGCCAAGGGCTACAACACTTGTCATCAAGAGTTTTTATATAAGTAACATTTTCTCGACCAAAATATGCAGATGACTTTCTGTTTATCATTTAAAAGTAAGACGTAATAACATTGATGCTCAATCTTTGAACGTAGTCGTCAGGGGCCCTACCAACCAGTGACAGTACTACTGGACTGCAATAAAATCACTATATTTAGAAAATACTGTCTTCGACGTGCTGTACAGAACGAGAACCGTGGTACTGTTCCGCCTTTTGAGAAATCCATTTAGAAAAATTGCACTGCAAGAGGGAAGGCACTAACTGAATAATCTGAGGGAATTCAAGGCAACGAAGATAACCTTCTAAGCAAAATAACCGATGCGAATTTTTCCCTTAAAAGAAAGTTGAGGGTAGAGTTATTTACCCGTCAGGAGATCCCTCTGGAACCTGATCCTCAGCAGAGTCGCCGCGCAACAAACTGCAAGAAATATATGAGGACGTTTGCTTCAGCAATGACAAACAGCCTCCTTGACAAAATTCATATAAACGTTTGGTGACTAAACGTTACTGGTTAAATTGTGATCAGCCTTTAAAGGCAAATAGGCACAGGTACTTAGGTGAAATTCTGTGATGGGAAGTGGGGTATTAAAAATACCAATGGCACAAAGTAAGTGTTGGGGAGATCAGTTGTTGTGAAAAGAAAAAAACCTGCGAAAGTTTTAAACGAGCCGCTGTTATAATTTAAGCGTACACTTTAGCGTCAATTTTTTCCAGATCTTCTCTTTTGTCCTTCCAGTATTTATGCCTGTATAATTTAATGGAATTTGAGTTCACAACCATAACAATAAATTTGGTTAGAATGAATGCATCGAACGTCATTTAGCCTGAAAGTGAAATAACCAGATGAACGTACGGCTCGTCCATTCGGTAGTCGTCATTGATTGCAGCACTAGGACGAAATGGAATTTACTTGTTCGTGATGTGAATGAAGCTAGTGCAACTATAGCTCGATATGCGCCTGTAGCGCACAGTAAAACCTCATAGTAACTCATCAGGAACATAAAAGTAGTAACGATGGAATACTCTAAACAATTTTTGAAGTTGTACAAACGACGCTCTGTTGGTTCAGACTGACTTAACATGTTTATCTTCTTTGACTCTGATATAATTTTAAATCTTCAAGTGTGCTGATATAGTTAAACCGCCTGTGTATAACAAAGTTTCAAAACATCGCATGTGGCTTTAACTTTTTAGTCAGTTGAGCCTCGTAGAGGACAAATGTTTATCACTCGCCTGTCAAAATTTAGTCCGAATGAATCATAGAATTCTTCGATACCATTGTAGTCTGCCTCTGAATCCCATCTAAAAATTGTGTGCATATAGTTAGTCCAATGTGCACAAAGTATATAAATAGTCCAGAAGACGACAATTGTAGCGATCAAAAATTGCAAAATAAAGCATGATGTCTGACCATAAAGAAGGCATTATTGTGTTATTTTGCAAAATGGGTATTAACTTGTCAGGACTGAAACGAAAATATTCGAATGCACTGCTTGCATTAGTGTCATGTTCCGCATTTGTGAAACTGTAAATGAAACAAATGCAACTTGATTTAAGGTTTAAAAAGTAGCTAATCTTTATGTACAAGTATTCTTAAAACGTATTTGTCACACTATTTGACATGGTTCTAAATGATTTGTGGGTTTTGCGGTAGCCTTTTGGAGGCACAGGTTGGCTGCAATGAGTCCAGGCGTCCTTAATGCGTGTGTGAAATTATATTTATTTACGGGTGTTTTCCCACCAGCCCTACAGAAATCTGTAAAATCGCCCTTACTGAATAAGATGCGGTCGAACAAATGACGATTGGAATTAATTTAGAAATTTTACAGTGGTTGAATCGTGCCATAAAAACTTATTCGGATGAAGGATGCATTTTTTGCGAAATGCCTTTAACTGCGTCGATGAGCTGCTGTCCCTAGTCAGTCACCATGATTAAAATTTTCTATAGAACGTTACATTTGCAATAACGTGACTTTTGCGAAGATTTTACTGTGCACGTTTTCTATGGCTGTATGTATGATGACCAGAACATATCATCTAAATTGGAGCCATAAGGGACAGCGAGCATACAGAAATGACTGAATGATTCCATCCACGGGATTGGTTTCGTTAATAACAATCCAGCACTGTTCGAACTTACTTTTTGTAAAATTCTGGCCACTCATCCGCAATGTCAGCGAATATGTCCGGTCCGCCAAAATGCGTTGACCTTGAAAAGTAGTCGTAAAGTCGGTGATTCACTTAAGTCGGCGAAGCATTATCAGAATCATGCATTTGTTTTTACAGCATATAAATGCAACCCAAATAAATTGCATGATGTCTTTAACATACAGAACAATTTCATTTAGAGTGAAAACAATAGTTTATGCGTGGTATGATTTACGATGAAATTTAGACAACTGTGTTTATCTGCAAAGGCAAATTCTTATTATACAGATTTCATGTGTACCTACGCATGTTAGAATGGAATACACTGTATTTTATTTTAGGCTTATATTGTTTTCGCTAATCGCCTGGAAAAATGATTCAAGAAAACTGATTGAAGTTTTAAATAACGATTGAATTATATTGAATGCAGCATTGATCAGAAATTGAAACTCCAGTCTCTGACATCTGAGATGTTCCAGAGTGCAATATGTGCCGAACGTCTGTTATAGACGTACGGCTTTTCAAAGTAGAAAACTGTTGAAGCCAATTTACTTGTAATGACTTGCACTTTGATGAGACATTATAAAAGGCCTGACCCAATTCCCATAACATCGTATTTTAACATTTTTATACGAACGGATTTGGAGCAAGTGCTTTTGGAACTCACCTTTCGAAAAATTTGAAATGGTTAAGAAGATGCCAGACTATGTTGATCCTTTCACTTTTTATGGCCGTTGTGCTGCAAAAGCAATTTCATGAGAACCTTTTTGATATGTGCAAAAGCCTCTTACAATATACTGCCGACTACGAGCGTTAGTTCTTGGTTCAAATATTTACGACAAAAGACCTTAAGGACATTTAGATATCTTTTAATGTTGCGTAGAGGAGGTATTAGACTGTTTAAACTCTTGCAACAACTTGCTAACCCAAATTTCTTATACATAGCGGTTGCTATTAAATTGGAATGTAGACAAGTGTATATTCATCGTAAAAAACGTCCTAAAAACGTCGAGATCGTTAACTAAACACTTTCACTCATTTTCAACAAGAAAACAACAGGTTTTTACTATTACGTATCTAAGCTGCGCGCCTTACTACCCGACTCTTAGGAGTACAGAACATGATGTCTATAATGAGTTCGCTATTCCAGTGATGCTTTAAATTCGCGATAGTTGAAAACTGCACTATAAAGTTAAATGTAGATGCTTAAATAAATATCAACGAATGTAACAAATTTTGGCATAATACTTAGTTTTCGAAAAATAACAGCAGTAAATAAAGCATGCGACAGAAACGAGTTGAGTTACCGCTTTGAATTTAATGGATTATTAATGAGATTATAACGCATCCATAACTAGTCAAAGATTAAAATTTGCAGGTCACTGCCACTGAAAATGGTTTATTCCTTTTACTTACAGAGTTCCTTTTTTTGTCCCATCCAGATATTTTTCAAATAACTCTGCCTCCTTGTCGAGTTGCGCCCTCTCCAATTCCGATTGCCTACAAAGGATAAAAAGGATAGCTAAAAATATCTTTGCTAGCAAGTAAGAAACGTTTGTGAATCTGTCAGTACTGAGAATTACTCGGTTTTGCATTGGGGCTGCCTTTCTGGTGATGAAAACGAAGTTTTAACTCTAACTTATAACTTAACTAATTTTGAGCGAAGATATATACAGAACAGGCGCGAAGAACATATATCGGCATTATAACAGTTCATCTTCACATAATTTGATCTTCATAAACAGTAGAGAAGAGCTGCTAATGAAAACTGCAGCGAGCTGGGAAAGTAACAGAGCAAAAGCTTTCTACATGAATAAGTTTACAGGTGCAGACTTAAAACGTCTGATTCCGTATTGCTTTAAACTAATCGGCTAAAGGCATTGCTATAGCATTCTGACGACTTAGGGCGCCTTCACTACTGAAAATGCAAATTGAGAAACGTATGGTTTTTGGAAAACCAATGGGACATCAGAATTGGCAAATTTAGTTTCGCATCACTACTCTACATATCCATCACCAGATTGACGGTGTCAAGATTATCCCGTTCTTAAGTGATGACTGCTGTGTAAGACTCGAAATGAATAATCCCGTTTATGGTGATTCAGTAACTTTTTCATACGCATCTTCATCTTGAGTGACGGCGTTTTCATTAAAGTTGCTGGAATAACAAACCCTTCAAATTTTCAGTATCAGTGGGTTCTGAGTTATCTTTCCACTAAAAAAATACCATGCTACCCTTTTCCTCGAATGACTTCAATCTTGCTTTGCGATCCACGGCAAACATTTGCTTATATAAAAGAGATATTATGAAAATGGAAGTAGATCTGTTATGTCGCAATTGATTTTTACCTCAGACCTCTAGCGATTCGTTAAGCTAATTTGCTTTTTTATAAAATTCAACGGATTGTCTTCTGAAGTAATGAAATTTTATTCCATTGTTACAACTTCATTCTTCTCTTGACCATGACGGAGTTCAATCTCTGTTACATCTCCCTGGTTCTAAAGCAGACCCATTTTAGTCATTGTCCAAAAAATGAAACATATTTGGGTATTCGTCAAACAGGGCGGGTAGAGCTGTCTGATAGGTCTTAAACGCCCCGGCCTAATGAAAGGCCACGAAACATCTGGACTAATTTTGAGTTTTCCTTCTGTCTAAACTCCCAAAATTGGCGAGTTTCATTACTTCATTTGGCTTCAGCACGGCATTTGACTAATACATTTGTGTTGTAAGGCCCTCAAATACATGCTCTATGATAACACTCCTTGACTTTTTAGTCAGTCTGCGCAACCATTGATTTCGTGCTACACTTACTTATATGCCAGGCCGTTATTTCTCTTGCAGCTAGGCTGCATTCTTTTTCCCAACTTAAGAGCAGTCTTTAAATAAATATAAAGACAATTAACCTATGATTTATGAACTGGGCCATGGAGAGAACCCGTCGCCTTAGTGTGTACACTCACACTTGCTAAAGATTTTGGTTGAGGATAAAACAATACGGTCGTCTATTTCAGGTTTACTCCTGCATATGTATCGGGCCTAATTTCAACCAAATCCGATAGCCTTAAAATCCCCTTTTACTGTTAACTTCGGGATCTACTTTAAAGATGGGCTGGATAATCTGAGTAAAGTTCATGACTCCTGCTACTAAGCTGGGCCGGGATATACGGGAACGTAAACCTCAGGCACTTTTCCTTTGGGGTCTCTCATTAATCTCTAGCTCCGCCACGAAGTTAGCATAACCACTTCAGAAATACACAGATAATGGCAAAAAACATTTTTTCTATCTCATAACGCATTAGAATGTACTGAACAAATAAAAAAACTAATATTACCCGGATATACTTATAATAATTTCACTTACATGATATCCGCCAGACATAAGTTAATGCCCAGAATAACGGCTGATATGGCGAAAGTGATGGCAGTCCTCAACATTGTCTGTAGAAGAGGGAAGAACTAGATAAATCACCAGACCACAACTAGATCATCTAAAATTGTCTTATAATTTGAAGTCTGGAATCACAGTGCGTGCCGTACAAAATTCTGTTGACCTCAAACTCCGTAACCATTTTTTTCGGGGATAAGAAATCTTATTAAAGTTAAATACATTTTGCGTGATCCTTGTCCTCTTTTTCTCCTTGGAAAATAAATTAACTAATAACGTTTAAAATCAGCTAAAATGTGGCTTAGAATATACACGACCACGGGCTAGGAAAATCGTACTTTTCAACAACGACAAAAAGCTTCCGATTAAGTTAAATACATTTTGCGTGATCCTTGTCCTCTTTTTCTCCTTGGAAAATAAATTAACTAATAACGTTTAAAATCAGCTAAAATGTGGCTTAGAATATACACGACCACGGGCTAGGAAAATCGTACTTTTCAACAACGACAAAAAGCTTCCAGAAAGACGACCTTTGAAATATATCGCATAAAAATAATTAAGGGATGGTATTAGGCCTTTTGAAAAGACAGCCGGTATATACTCATTTCTTTATGGAAGAAACATTTTCTGTCCATTATTTTAGAAGGGAAATCAAATTCCATTTTCATGGAATATTTATGTGATGCTATTCACAAATTTGTCGGATAAATTTTTTACATATTTTAAAGATAAATCAGGCTTAGTGCATAGAACAAAGAAATGTCCAATACTTGCCAGTGCCCGAGTAGAGAGATTTCTTCGTTAATTAGAATGATTTTAGGTAGATTCTTCTTCTACTTTTATAGTTGGTAGAGAGATATCCAAATTAAGGTTGCTTAGTTGACCTTTTTACCCGAAAACAAGTATCAGTCTATGGACGCGAATACCCTAATGGCCTACTAAACTGATGCTTACGGTTCGGAAGATTTTTACGGTAAGTTTACCGTACACGGGTTATTTACTGCACCAGTGCGCACCCCGACAAGTTCACAAAAGATTGACGGATTTCCTAGACATCAGCCGCTTTTTTGAACAAAAGCCCCTTGGGGAAAAGAACTCTGGGGGATAGACTGTGAAAGGCTTTGCAACCCAGCCAAACGAAGGGTTTTGACGAGAATAAGATTTTAAAAAACCCAGTCTCTGGCCCTCCTTAACTGCATGTTTTTATTAATTCCTTAAATGGTTTGCGACTTTGAATGCATTTGTCGGTCGAAAAACAAAAATGGCAATTTTCCAGTGGTTTTGAAAGACATGCTTGAACAGTAGAGCATTGTCCACATTGAATTCACATAGAAAATACCTTAAACAATCTTGAGCAAATTTTCTAAGCCTATTTTTCCAGGTGACGTAAACCCTTGGATTAATTGCACATTTCAGTTAAATTTATTAATTTGAGACCATCCAATTGAAGATTTTGTTTTTAAATTCATACGCTAATATGTGGACGAAAATCTGTTTAATCTGAAAAGTCATTAATAGATGACATAGTCGTCCTCTGAACCGTTGTATTAATGAAATCATTATTTTAGAGTCTGTCGTTCTTGTAACATTGATTGGTCGGCCGTCTTCCAGATGTATTTTACACTTCCTAAACTTTCTCACGACTTTTTACAATGTGGCAGGATAACTCAAGCACTTTACTCAGGCCTGTGCATTGATTTTCCATGAAAACTGCCGAACTTAACCTGACTTTTATTCATCTATTTGAGCTTCAGCTAAACTTCGACATGTGAACGGAGGCTTTTTGGAAAGAAACTTCAAGGCAGTAAGAGCAACATCGGCATCCCTGTCGAATGCAAACGAAGTAAAGGCGCAAGCTTACAATACAAGTGTCTTTTTGCACAACGCCTGTAACAGCGTCGTTCCCTTTTGCATTTCCGAGTCTGAGGCCGCTCGAGTAGCTACATAAGTATGAGCATTCAATTATCGAGATGGTTTACATACCAACAAATACAAGGACTAATTGATGTCTCTCAAATCAGATAGCACAAAAGTAATAAATTCCCGACGTGCCTTGAACTCCTCTCTTGGTCACAAACGACAGCTTGCCGTTTTGGAAAAAAAATGTGCGCATTTAAGTGCCATTGAAATTGACGATGAGGAAGAGTAGAGGAAAGGTTATTTAGAGAGGATGAGAAGGAATCGACATGCATTTTTTCTGCCTTAACAAAACGATTGCCATTTGAACTCGATTAGCCGATGAGTACGGCTCTTCCACGGTTCAGCTACCATGTCTATATCTTCTGCTTCACGGGAAAGAAATGCGGATTCGTGGAAGAGCAAAATTATCTTTTGCGTGCATGTTACAATAAAACGCGTCTCATCCGAATTTCCAGAACCAGTGGCACAACTTCAAAAAGAACACTTACAATAATTTTTAAGTGTTATATTTTTAACTTTCTTGAGACAGACTGTGAACGCCTCCGAAAGGATGTTTGCGATAGGACACTTTTACAGATTAAAAGTAATCGCTTTTGGCCAAAATTAAAGACAGTGTGTCTTCAACCTTCTTCTTTAATAACGAGTCAGCTTTGTTAAAAACGCAGTCAAAAATGTGCTATGAAGATACTATTTTGATAAGCCTGTTTGCAGTAATATACGGACTTTAAACTTTTTGCAAACCCTCGAAAACTCTCTTAGAATGCTTCGAATTCCTTATTTGCTTTCTTTTCATCTATGCCGGCGATTATTCTTTTCTGCTGCACACAAGTTATAACGCTGCAGTGCTCGTTTTTTGTTTTGCGCGTAAACGCAAATTATAATATTGCAATGATTTGGGTTCGTAGACTTTCTGGTAGAAGATATTTTCAAAGGTCGAAAACCTAACTGCACAGTCTCAAGAATGACCAACAAGGTCAGTATAAGGGCTTCAGGTCGAAGCTCTATGCTAATCTATTTTTCTCTGTTCCGAATTGAACGGCAAGTGCATGATGGATACGAACAGGCCTTCTGCCATATGTGTCAAAAAACGAAAGATGACGTCTTGCGTAACTTATCAGGAACCGAATTCTCTTACTTAGGATTCAGTTAGGTAACGTTGACGGGTTATTTCCTTATATTGATCTGTTGGCATACACCCGATCTACTCCTATTCCGTCTTACTTCTTAAGAGGCATTAATCCCTTTCAATACAAGGGCCTAAATTTAATTGCGTAACTTGACGAAGAATATGTTAACCAAAGCTTTCGGCAATGCAAATTTTTCCGTGCCAACGATTCCACGCTTTACATTTAGAAAATACGTCTCAGCTTGATGCGACGGGGATTTCCCTAGAGAATGAAGCGCACATCTTTTACGGTAATTCGACCCCTAACCTCAGCTCTTTTCTTTCTGTCTGTTGCGGTCTCGTCTTGTAGTCAGCAGTCACCTACGACCTCTTGAACTCTGTTATTTGGATTGCGCCCAGACAGAACATGAGCTGGAGCGGTCAGACAAAACCAGACAGTGGACCGACTTCTGTCCTCGCTAGCAGAAGACTTTGTCTTTACAGCCCTTAGTCGTTCATCAGTGCAAATTCTAATAAAGAAATATCTTGAAAGCTAATTCTTGCTATCATCAGAAAACAAGTTTCACTAATTCTAAACCAGGCAGAAAATTTAAAGTCTGGCAGTAGTGCTTTTTACTAAGAATATTCCATAAAATAGGTCAAATTTGTAAAGAAAATGAACATAAGACCTCTGGAACAGAGAAATGACAATAGATGAGCTTTCTCATGAAGTGTTGACCGAAATTTTGAAATGTGCTTTCTATTCGTAAGGAATATGTGTGTAGAGTCGTCATTTTAATTATTGTGCGGCTTGCTATTCACGTCATGCATCCATTCCTTGAATGAGCATCTTTTCGGCCGTACGCAAAATCTGCACATTAAAAGATGACTATTCCAGGAGCATAGGTGTTATCCTTAATTTTCAATGTTCTTATAAATTAAAAAATATTTTAGAGAAAACTTTATGAAATGGTCCTTCTTGTATTCATCTTGCAGTCAAATACGTGCTCTTAAAATATTCTACTCAAAAGAGTTAGCTTTTGGTTTTCAAAATTTCCTCAAATTCTTAAACCGTTTTTCGCCCCATCTGCCGCTACGTATGCATTCTGGGTTTCTAAAATACATTTTCTATACATTCTCGTCAATGAAATATCACACATTTCTCGATGCCCTCAGAGAGACGTTGTATAGTACTCAAAAAACAGTAAGGTGGATAGGAAAGTGTTGTATGCCTTAATCAAATTGCTAGTGCAGTGATCTATGAATGGAGATTTTACTGTCTTAAAACCTTTTCATAATGAGAAACCTTTTTAGAACCGAAGCTATCCTTTTTAAATACACAGTTTGAAGAAGACATGATTTGCTACCAAATGAATGCGAGAAAGAATATTTATTATATTTACATTTTTCATGTTTTACATGTCTACATGATTTCTTAAAAAATAATTCAGTTTATGAAGGCATTGGAAATCTATGCCAAAAAAACGTATACCACTGAGGAATCATTTTTTACACAGTGCAGATTTTGTAAACGGCCGGAAAGAAGCTCATTCAAAAGCCGACATCCTGATGTGACTGAAATATCTTGCGGTTATGCTGCATGGTAATTGCCATCACAACTCTACTAAAGTAATACTTACGAATCGAAAGCGCATTTCAAAATGTCGACCAACATTTAATGAGATAGCGTATCTACTGCGATTTTGTGATACAACAGTGTCAAGAATCATTGGAATTTCACTCAGTGAATTATACTATTAACACTGCTGGAATAAGTGATTTTCTTGTACGGTATAGCACGACCTAAAAACTACGTGTAGAGTAGGAAAACTGAATCAGGGGCTAGCTGGGAGCGAAATAGTGCCTAAACTACAGATAGAATGCAACTTTTACGGACAAAGTGGCATTTGTTTGAAAGATCGCATTAAGAATTCATCGTCGCTGATCGTTATGGTCCAACTTTATACCATATAATACTCATCCCTCCTATTTTCGCCAGAAGTCTGAGAAAACCCAACTTCTTCGGAAAAAGCAATCATGTGCTCACCTGGACAATGAAAACTATAGGAGATTCACAGGAATAAAACAAGCGAAATTCGAAATAACAATGAGGAACTACGACTCTTGTTTATTCATTATCCAAAACAATCAAAGTGGGTTCAGCAGGCTAGTGGTGTTTCGCAAAAGAAACAACAAGGTATAATAGCGCTCCGGAAGGGGGCAGTTATGACGATCATTTTTTGTTGCAATGACATGCGTGAAATCTCCTGTAGATCAAGTGGTTCCTGCTTATCTAACAGTATGCTATGGAATTGTTTTCCGAGTTTCTAATCAGAGGTCTACATTCTGAAGCCAAGATAAATACAATAGCTCCAGGCAGTGGGTATTCTATTACTGGAGCAAAAACCTTATTTTCCAAACGCTTTGAACACTTAAACGATACCATCGTCAGACACAGGTGTGCAACGAGTATGCACTGTAATTGCAACCTGCTTACATAACGGTCAAAGCTAATCGCAGACCTCAACAGTTATGTGAGGACTGTGAGACCAGCCGTGTCTGATTCTCTAGTCACCGCGATTAAGATTCTTTTAATGCAGTAAAGCCCCCTCAAGTGAAAACTGAAATTCGACTCTCAGCCATTGGAACCTTTGGAGTTAATCAATGAAGGTGGGCAGAAAGCGAGACTACAGATAAGACGATCAGTTTAGTCTGCACTGCCGTGAAGATGTTATCGAATCTAGGTATGCCGTCATTGTCGGGCTTTCCGCAGTTTGTTTTTATTATGTCTTATATCAATAAGGATAATAGTTAATAAAATTATACAATATAAGAACTTCTGTTCGTTAAGAAGTTTTGAACCATTGGAGTTTGTTAGCGAATATTTTTTGATTTCTTATTTGAAACCGTTGCTTTTACGTTTAGGCTTTAAGCGCCCACATTTTTGTATGAGACAGAATTTAATTATTTTTTTATCAATAGTTAAAAACAAATCTGGTGATTGTCCCTGTTAGGATTTTCGATGATAAAAATTAATCTCCTGAAGAAAAACAGGAGCCGGATTTGGTAGTCATTTGTAACATGTAAGTTACGATTTGGAAAATAGCGGAACAAATTTGCATCCTTAGCTTCACACTACTTGTTCATATACGCTCCCGAAAGTGCCAGAATTTGCTTTGTCTGACGCAACTGATCCCAAGAAAACGACCTTACATTTGAAATATAAGCGTCATGGAGTCGACTGCAAAAGGCTCACGTTCTTGTATCAAGCACTCTTGATAAGATACTTATGCTCTCGTCTTTCGGAATTGTGTTCTACCTTCTTTGTGACAGCATAAGCTACCTGCTAATGCATGCTGCCTCTACGGATAAGCAATCAATTAATGTTCTTATGGCTTCTCATTCCTGACGTTTCAGTTCACTTTTATTAAAGGGAATATAGGCGAACGTTTTGAAATCCCTGTGGGCTACAAATCGTCTAAGAAAAGCCCCGATAAGTGGAAAGTTGAAAAAGAGGTTTATACATAATGGCATGCGAAAAATAGGCAACTGGCAGCCTTTCGAAAACGGGCAAACATGAAAGGTTCTAATTGCAAGCAGTATAAACATATATAAGTTGGTTGATGGCTTATGTGAATGATTGTGTTGCTGGTAATTGGGATGCCTGATACGCGTTGAGTCTAGACTTAAATGAATCAACACAGAGGAAGAGTACAACATCAGTAAGCAAAGCATTCCACTTTGTAACCACTCTGATACTGAAAAAAACTTTCGGCTATTGATCCTTGCCCTACCTGCTCAAAGTTTATGGGATGACCGCGCTAAGTGGGTATGCTAGCTTAAGTGAAATAATCACTGGGAACCAAGCAACAGTCTAGGCCGTTTATAATGCGGAATATTAGTACAAGATCATCGCGTAGCTGCCTGTAGGAAAGGGAAAACAGGTTGAGAATTGACAGTCTGGATTCATAGGGCAGTGCTTCCAGGCCTTTTGTCATTTTTGTCGTCCACCTCTGGCCCTTCTCTATGTCGGTATAGTCCTTCACAGTCCATGGTCGTCATGCCCGGACAGAATATTCTATACGGGGTCCCGCGAAGGTTACAAATATTTTAGAAAAGCTGTCTTTGTCAGGTCCCATAAAGGCTCGCCAAATGAGTTGCAATGTAGACATAGCCGACTTAGCTCCCTTGCTGCAGTACAGTGTCCGTTTGAGTAAAGATGTAATCCACACCCCCAAGTCCTTCTGACGTTCAACTTGATGAAGTGGCGTGTCGTGACGAAAGTAAGCTCTGAGGCTGGAGACTCTACAGCTGCCGAGATAAAGAAAGTTGCACTTACCTGCTTTGAATGGCATAAGCCAGCGCCTCAACCGATCCTCGAGCCTGTTCAAGTTTGTTTGCAGGTGGTCTCCGTCTGCCGTATTAAGAATAACTTTCCACAATTTTATGTCGCCAGCAAACAGATTGACATCCCAGTCTAGGTCCTTGGTGCGGTCATTTATGAAAGGAAGAAATAACGTAGGACCCAGGACTGAACCCTCTGGGGAGACACTCACCACGCTTACCCTGTTGGCGTCCGACCTACAGTCTTTCTGATCGTTCAGTCAAAAACTCTGGACCCATAGAAGGAGGTGTCCATAAATTTCTGCGTTGCGCAGTTTGTGCAAGACGCTGATGAGGAATGCTGTCGAACGTCTTTTTGAAGTCGATGTAGGTGGCGTTCGGGTAGCAAGAGCAAAATTGTTAGACAGGACCTACCACTTCGAAAGCCATATTTGGAATCGGAGAAGTGATGCTGCTCGAGGAACTGCATCAAGGCTTTCTTAATGATTTTCTCCATGATTTCGCAGCAAATTGAGGTCTCGAAAAATCGCTTTCAACAACAACATATAGTTAGTTATAGGTGAAAGTGCATTTCCAAAACTTTCCTCCTTTCAGTTTGCTAAATAGGGCTCAAATGTTTTCTTACTTAAATTCGATTCAGTACACATGACATCCACATGACATCTGTGGTAACTGCAAGCACTATTGCAACGGCAAAAGTAGCAGGATCTCGGCGAATACATGAAAACCAAATGTTTAACCCTTTTGCAAAGTCTAGTAACTGGGTGTCCGGAAAAAAATGAATTTACGTTTTGTTTTGTCAAGTAACCTAGGCTTGTTGTGTAGTTACTAATAATAAGGTTTCCGTGTTTCGAGTTACCTTTGGACACACAATAAATTGTTGAAAAGCATGCTAAGATGCTGGGCGTCCATCTCAACGCCAACTATGAAATTGTGGCCAAATAGCCATAAGCAGCTTTAACTATTTCATTTTATAAAAGATTTAGTCTGGTAAAGAAGGAACCACCGGAAATGACCAATAAGAAGGGCCGATTCACACACCGATTCTAAGTAATCATCACTAAGCTACAGTGAGTGACCGATCTCATGAAATGTTGGCTGAAATTCTGAAATGTGTTTTCCATTAGGAAGGACTACTTGGTCGCGGTTGTAATACTGATTATCTTGCAACACACTCTTATAACATTTCGGACTCGACAGGATGTCGGCTTTTAAATACATTTCTTCTTAATCTCCTGTAGAAGGCGTACTCGGTAAAAAATGACTACTCAAGTAGCATGCATTCTTCTCATTGATTTTCGATGGTCTTTCAAATTCATCTATATTTTATAGAAACCATAAATAAAAATATGCTTTCTTTTCGTCAATCAATAGAGAATCACTTTTTTTGTAAATTTTATACTTAAGGAAGGAGTATGATTCGGTTTTAAAAAAGTTTTCTAATTGCCGAATAATTTGGAGCCTGATCATTCGTTGCATTTGCGTTTAGTGACTTCACTCTACAAGGTGCATGCAATCCGCGTAAAGAAAATCACATATATTTCCATGCCATTAAAGAGGTATCATGCGGAGTCCATAAAATTTTGCAATGGATGCGGACCATGTTGTACATTTCATGAGGAGCAGTGGTAAACGGCCAGGCACGATGCTATGTGAATGGACATTTCGCGGTCTTAAAAAGTCTCATAATTAGAAGCTTTTTTAAAACCTTATTATGCTCCCTTCTTCAGTATAAAATATAAAGAAGACGTGATTCTCTATTGATTGACCAAAAGAAAACATATTTTTGTTTATGATTTCCATAAAATATATTTAAATTTCAAAGACCGTCGAAAATCAATGGAAAAAATGCATGCTACTTGAGTACTCATTTTTTACCGAGTACGCCGTCTACAGGAGATTAAGAAGAAAAGCATTTAAAAGCCGACATCCTGCCGAGTCCGAAATGTTATAAGAGTATGTCTTAAGATAATCAGTATTACAACCGCGACCAAGTAATCCTTCCTAATCGAAAACGCATTTCAGAATTTCAACCAAAATTTCATGAGATCGGTCACTCACTGTATGTGGCGTCTGTCCAAATTTACTGTTTGGAATTTTGAAAAGCTATTCTTCCAGGTAGACTAAAATGCTAGTATGCGAAAGCTGGACTTTCCCAAGCTTATCCTGATGCAAATTCATAGACCGAAAAATTCACACGTTAGAATTAAAAGACAACTTGAATGATCCTGTGCGGAGAATTCTTGTGGTGATGTTGAGAACGCGAAGGTTACGGTTGCCACTCGCAGACTATGGATATCAGGACAAGACAGGAGTTATGAAAGAATTAGTAATCAAATGTCAAACGACCTGATAGTCTAACATATGCCGCACGCGTTGCATTTCACCAAGTGTTTTCATTCATATAAACAAGCAGTAAGTTCGAGGATGGTGAACAGGTAATTAAATGCAGGACAGTCAGGAGCCTCAGCACAGTAGCCCCTCCGAGTCCGGAGGGCGGCGGAAACGACGCCGAAATGTGTGCAAGTCTAAAAGAAATTAGTGGTCGGTCGACCAGGAAAGTATACGTAATGACCACTGCGACTGATATATACATGGTCTCTAGAAGAGTGGATACGTTCTGTGGCGGAAGTGTTGGAGTTATAGGTCGCAGATGGAGGTAGTGGACAGAAAGGAAGAGGGAAAATACGGGACGGCGGAGTAGAGGATGGAGGGGGTGGAATAGCAGAGGGTAGGGGATCATATGGCTCGTGCGACTGAAAGTCGGGGACAGATGCTTTCAGACGATCCACACCCTCGACCTCTTCACGATTGTTGTGTTGAATGCGGAACGTCTTCATCCCGCGAGAGAACACCCGGAATGGGCCGTCATAAGGCGGTTACAGAGGCCGGCAGACTCGAGCCCATTGAAGGCAGACGTGAGAGCACTTTGCCAAGTCCTTTTCGAGATAAGACGGAGAGGCGGAGGACCGGGGCAGAACCGAAGAAAGTGTCCGCATAAACTATCGGAGGCGGTGAAGGAGATTGGTGGGATTCTCTACCACACCTCGTTGGGTTGGTGAGATCATTTCAACGGGGCAGGCGGACGGTAGTGCCAAAGACCAGTTAAACTGCGGAACGGTCAAGGGCCGGCTTAAGAGCGCAGTTGATGCCAAAGAGGACGGGAGGAAGATGTTCTATCCAATTCTCCGGATCATCCGCTATGTGTAGCGGGGTTTTCAACTGGTGGTGAAACCGCTCGAACATTCCGTTGGCAGCCAGGTGACAGGCTGTTATTCAGATGCAGGTGAAGCCTAAAAAGGAGAGGAGAGACTGGGCACCGCTGTCAGTCGTGATAGTGGTAAGTGCACCGAATATGGCCACCCAAAGACTGAGGATAGCCCTGACCACCGTTGGAGCAGCAATAAGAGGCAGGGGAATAGATTCAGGCCACCGGGTGAACTGATCCACACGGGTGATGAGATAGGACCAACCACTGGACAGAGGCAGAATGCCTGCAATGTCCAGGTGAACGTGGCTGAACCTTGCACCAGGTCCGGAAATGTGCCAATAAGGGCCTTGTGCCGCCTGACTTTATCCCTTTGGCAGGCGATACAAGCCAGTGTCCATGCTTTGCGGCCCTTGTGCATCCTCGGTCAGATGAAGCGGTCGGAAACCAGCTTGTCGGCAGCCCGACTCCCAAGGTGGGATAGATTGTGCGGGGAATAGAAAACTTTACGGCGTTGGGAAGGTGGCACAAATGGACGATGGGATGGGGTGGGTACTTCGCACAGAATGGTGCCGTTGCATGTTGTCAATGGTAGCTCCTGAAGTTGGAGTCCGGCAACATCCTCATCACAGGGTGAACCGACAAGGCATTGTTCAGCGGCTATCTCAACAAGGTCGCTCCCGGGTGAGAGCTGAAGTTTAGCGATAGAGGGCCTGGACAGTGCTTCAGCCACCCTCCGTGACCCGTCAATATATCCGATGTCTGAACTGAACTGCGAAATGTAGTCTAGGTGGCGGATCTCCCAGGAGTTTAGTTTGTCAGTGTGGGAACGCAGAGCAAAATTGAGTGGCTTATGATCTGCGAAAATTGAGAACTCTCGACCTTCCAGTAAATGTCAGAAGTGACTCACGCAAGACAAACGGCATGACGTTCACGTCCAAATGTGCCGTAGCGGGCTTCGGTCTTGGATAATTTCCTAGAGAAGAAAACCGAAGGCACGGTAGAATCCAGCAAACGTTGTTGGAGAGCCGCGCCAACAGCAACACTGGAAGCACAGACCATCAGAGATATAAGTGCGTCAGCATGAAAGTGAGTTAGGAGGGTGACGTCAGCCAGAAGGGCTTTAACCTGCTCAAGTGACGTGAGTGCTGCAGGTGTAAGTTCAAAGGTGCGTCTAGAACCTGCGAGGAGACTGGTCAGTGGTAGGATGGTGTCGGCACAGTTCGGGAGAAACCGGCGATAAAAGTTCACCATACCGAGAAACCGTTGTAGTTGACGCTTCGAGGAAGGGGGTGGAAAGTACCGAACGGCAGCGACCTTTGAAAGAAGAGGCCGATTGTCGTTGGCGTCGATTTGATGACCTAAGAACTCAAGATATATGGTGCCTAGGACACATTTAGCAGGGGGCAGGGTGACGCCAAACTGCTAACATCGATCGAAACGTAGGATAAGATGTCGAAGGTGCTTATCCGCATCCCGAGTGGCGACTAGTACATCGTCCACATAAACATATGGAAGGCCATGTAAACACGGTCAATGAAATGTTGAAAAGTCTGTGAGGCACTTCGAAGGCCAAATGACATTCAAAGAAATTCAAACAAGCCAAAAGGGTCATCATTGCCGTTTTGGGAATGTGCTCAGCAGCAATCGGAATTTGATGAAAAGCCCGGACAAAATCGATCTTCGAGAAAACGGTTTTGCCATAAACAGCTCCGGCAAAGTCCTGAAGGTGAGGAGCCAGGTACCGATCTGGCGTAGTAGTATTGTTATGGGCTCTATAATTGCCGCAAGGACGCCAATCATCCTTTTTTGGTTGAGGTACCATGTAAAAAGGAGATACCTGGGGAATGTCTGACTGTCAAATAATCCCTGTTTGTAACGTGTGGTCAAATTCAGCCTTAGCAGCCGCAAGACGAGTAGGAGCAAAACGGAGTGGATGAGAGAAAACAGGAGGACCAGCCGTTTATATGTGACGAACACTATCATGGGGCAATGAGAGGTCAGGAAAGTGGAGCTTAGTGAGATTAGGATATTTTGCTGAAAGTTTACGGGATTATCAATCAGGGTCTGGGTCAAGGAAGGGTAGATGCTTAGAAGTTGAGGATAGAGGAGATCATTCAACGGTGAGTGTAGTTGCGCGATCATGGGGGCTAGGTTGCCTGCAGTCAACCAGAAGGTCAAAAGCGGCTAGAAAGTCGGCAGCAAGGATAGCAGTAGGAATATCAGCCACCACAAAAATCCAAGGGAAAAGTCGCCTGAAAACAATATCAAGGGAGACAGATCAGGATCCAAAAGTCGCGACGGGAGAGGAGTTTACGACCTCGAGGAAAAGACCATGGTTGGGACAGCGTCGGTCGGCTGGAATAGGAAGGACAACACTAATTTGAGCGCCAGTGTCGACTAGGAAACGTTTGTCAATCGGGTTATCACAGACGTTAAATGTGCGACCGGTAGAGTTGTAAGAGAGCTCGACCGCATTTACCCTCCGACGGAGGAGTTTCCCGGTGAGGACTTTAAAGAGCAGGGTGGGACGTAGCGGCGCGCCTTTTCGTCAAAGTTTACATGACACCAACATACGTATGTGGTCCTGGGGCGAGAGCGGGAACGACGACGGTCACGGCCAAAGGAACTTCGAGACTGACCAGCAGATTGACGCAGCCGCAAAGCGGCAACAGTCGCCGACACCTGGGCAATCTGTGTCTTGAGCTCAGCCAGGTCATAGGTCGACACGCTGAGACGTTGGAAAATCTGGGCAACCGCCGTGGGTGACAAACGCTCAACCTCCATCATATGATCGGCCATTTTCGATAGTTTTGAGATGTCTAGGTCATCTGAGCCGTAATCCAAGACAGTTTGCACTGATGTCGGCAGACGTTCTAAGGACATTTCTTTAGATAACTTATCGTCAATGGCCATGCTCCCAAAAAGAGAATGCATACGACGCAGGAGTTCTGACGGCTGTGTGATAACACTGTCGATCTGAGACTGATGTCAGGTGAAGTTCAGCCTTTAGCTTCGGATAGGAAGCATCAGTCGGGGGATCACGCAAAAATGTCTAAACTTGCGAAAGAAAGGTAGCAGGAAGAGCCTCGACCAACTTTTAATGCTTGCAAAGTGAAACGTTGCTTAAGTACGGAAGAAATAAAGTTCTGGCGCATGTTGTCAGAAGTCTGGGAGACACAAAACAATTTCATTGAGAGGAGCAGCGACAGCGACGGAATCAGTAGAAGGCATGGTTGCAGACAGAATTAAGGAAAATGGACTATATACAAACAGCAAGTCTCAGTCAACAGATTAAAGGCGTAAGCATGAACGTCGAAAGGGCCACAAATTTTGTGAACGCGAAGGACATGGTTGCAAATCCCAGACTACGGATATCAGGACAAGACAGGTGTTAGGCAAAAAGTAATAATTAAGTGTCAGACGATCTGATGGTCCAATACATGCCACGCGCGTAGTGTTGGGCCGAGTTCCTCTCATTCAATCAACAAACAGTAAGTTCAAGAGTTGTGAAAAGGTAGTTAAATGCAACACATTCTGGCGCTTCGGCATAGTGCGTTAGGAGATTTAATGAAGGGTGTGATGGTAAAAGTAGTATAGCTGACACAGGAAGGAAGTAAACAACCGATATGAGAGGCAAAAAGCTGGCAACCAGAGAGAGTGCCGCGTCAAGAGATAATTGACCGCAGTCCTCTTTCTCTTTTCTCTGAACAATTCTCAAACATGAAATTGACAGTGTCGCTCAACCGTCGCCCGTAAAAAGTCCATAGGTAATTGAGAAAGTTCCAATTTTTAGCAGTATTCCGCTGACGGGAACTGGCAATTAAACGCAGAAGTCCCTGTTATCAAATAGAAGTTATAGCCTATTCGCAACAAATTAGTTCACTGTTTCTGACTATGGCGACTCCCAGAGAAAACATACGCTTTCAAGTTGATTGCAAGAAACATACATAAGTCGAAATTTTTCACAGATCAGAAACAACTTCTGACGGAGGAACACTTCATTGAAATTCATCACCAATCAAAGTGAACGGAAACTTTAACACTAGCTTGTGCATTTTGTTAGAAAATAAATCTACGCTTTCTAAAACTGCCGAATTCAAAGACGTGGGCCTAAAGTTGTGCTAGACTCGACGCTAAACGAAATTTGGCGTTAAGTGCCCGGCTGGAGCTTAGCCTATCCTCGCCTAAAAGGTCAGCATTAGGAACAACAATTTCATGGAACCTAAGAAAAGAATGCTTTTTTAGATAGAATCGATAAAAACCCCTAAAAAGCATTTTTGATAAAATACCAAAATTCTATAGCCAGATGAACCTCGATTTTGACTGGTCGGAAGCGCGAAATTTTGTTAGAATAAGCTGGTTACCAATAGTAAAAATTGGCAGCGTTCCAGTAAGGACGAAGAAGAAGGATAAAATTCCTCAGTGCTGGGAATGGCACTTCAACGAAGAGCGCACAAGGAAACAAATCTCGCCTTCGCCGGTAATCCACACATTGTAATCTACCCCCCGCTCCGATGGTAGTTGCCTAACCTTTTTGATTATAATAATCAGAACACCCCAACGCAAATGCATGATTTCGATGTCAGCCTAAGTTAAAAGACCAGTGTTTGGATTTATCTAGCTTCCTAGAAGTGTCATTTGTGAATTTTAGCAAAGATATGCTGTAGGGTAAATCTTTTATCACAAACTGTTTTTAACATTTGTCCTCACCTTGGTTCACCGCCTGCAAATATTTGCAGAGTGGGTCTTTTTCACTGAAGTTTTCACGTCAACGATTTGGAAAATCCACTTTTCTATGTGCTTCGCCTCCACAGCGAAAACACGCGATATATATAAAAAGCATACGAAACGACGCCATCCATATCATGCTGACTGGAGCCGAAATTTCAAGTCTGTTGTCAAAGAGGAACTATTTTCACCAAGCCAACAGGATTCCTTCAAAACTAGAAGACGTCCTACTGTGCCAGAAGACTGGAGACATTTGATGGTGCGCCGGCCGCAATGAAGAACTTCATCGAAGTTGTCACACACAAACAAAATCACGTAGCTACTCAGACCGCATAACGCCATTGGGGAAGGAGTAGATTGTGGAGAACTGGGCCAAGCAATCTCGAGAATTCCACACTCACTCATCTCCAATTCACGAAGCAAACCAACAGACTGGAGCAAATTTATCTCAGTGTTAAAATAGGTCCGCTCACAGAAGTACAGGAACCAACCATGAGTTGAATGGAAAAGTTCCTCTTGTATTAAATAGTGACACTCAAGTTGCAAGAATAATTCCTCTATCCACATATGGAAAGGCAGAGAATAAGAGAAATGCCAAGAGTGCAGCAAATTTATACCTCTTCAATCGGCACGCTTACTAATCAACCCGTAAAATGACGACAGAGGTGCCGCCTCCTCGACATCGCTTTACTGTCCAGACATCGTTAACGGCATTTAATCCATGTATCTTAGAATGGCCGTAATGCCGGTGGATCGCGCGTAAATTCATTTATTGAGGGGCAGACTTATGCAGGAACCACCACGCTGTCTTCTCTCTCACCCACCTGGCTCCGGCGACAGGACAGAGGCAGGACGACCAGGGCAGGATCGGGCGCAGTGGCTGACAAATTCTGAACATCCCGTCTCCACGTGCCACGCACGATCTGACCCCGCAAAATTCCGAGTCTAGCAACGATAGTCCTGACCCCACAAGCATGAGTGCCGTAAATAGCACACTGAGGGGAGACCATCGTAACCTGAATCTCCATAACCTGGGGAGCGGAAAAGTATGTATGGCATTAATTGGCAGCATTCTAAGCGACGATTCTTAGCGTGCTGTGATAGGTTCAAGTGCGTCGGATTTATTATAGTGAGAATCGCGTTGCTCTCCCTGGGATAGATGCCCCATCGCCGATTTAACTCTTTGCGAGGAAGAGGATGTGATAGTTGAAACAAATTCCGTTCACTTGAAGATTCGGATTTTTGCAAGAACCCATCATTAGAGAAAGTAACAGCGCTTGTCTGAAGCAAGGCCCGCAGACTTCATACTATCCGGACTCACGTCTTCCGCTAAAGGCACAATGTCATTTATACACACATGCAGAACCCTGCAAATGAAATCTGCACCTCGAGGAAATTTCATCTTAATGCACAGATTATCAACTGCGTCAGTAAAGCAACTTAGAGAGCTTATATTTGACCTAACACAATGGAGCAGGTCTGCGCGCACTCGTCACCCAGCACGGACGAGACGGTCACGAAGCGTCGATCAACCTTGACTGTGGAATACGCACTGGGGCGTCCTGTAAAATGACTGCCTTTATACTGCTGTGTAATAACCTGTTTCGATTAAACTAAGTATACTGCAGACCAAAGAACAATCACGATACGAAATACCAAATCGGTAAGATGTGGTTTGGTAGTCCCATCTGATGGACACAATACTGTTGTGGTTTGGGGTTAAGGGTTGTGATTAGGGGATACGGTTTAGTAAAAAGGATTATAGTTAGGGGTTAGGGGTTAGCGCAACTATTTCTCAACCATTCAAAGTATAACCGCGCATTCCCAATAAGTTTCTTTTGCATACCACTCCCTGACCTCGTCGCCTGTTCATTCCCTGGTCCCTCCTGTAAAAACCCCTATTACCACCAGTCCCGTATTAGAGGGGACTGGGGTTTTTTTACTTGAGGTGTATCTACATAACCACATCCGACCACCAAATCCAGTCTGGGTCGCATAAAATTTACGTGCTTCAGTGTGGGAATTCCGCGGCATCATCCACAGCACCAAGTCTAAGATGAGAGGTCGCGATGCTGACAGACTTCAACTGTACAGAGAATATCACCAGCCAACCAGTAATGTCTAAGTAGTTCCACGTATGCGGGCCGTAATTGAAAATCTGCTTCGTTAGCCCAATGATGGGTTGGCCGCTGTGCCCACAACTGGCAAACTGTAACAGCTCTTAATTAGGACGGGTCACGAAATAGACTGACTTTTAGATCTGGCCACACACCAGCAGCCGCATTACAACCAGGACGAGGAGCGCAGGGATCTGGCACACCGACTGTTCTACAAAACAGTCTACAGACCGATGAAAGCCCTATGACATAGCTATCGTCGGCAGCTATATAATAAATTATTTTGCCACCGCTGTGCTGCACTTAGATCCGATCGAGCCAATTTTCTGAAGATCTCAATCCTCAACAATCCGAAAGGTTGTTCTAGAGCCTTCTGTCGTGCTGAAAATTTCGAAGAAGTGGTAACATTTGCAGGACGTGCCACCGCACCCGTGGGCACTGAAACAGGCAGCGACCCCCTTCTAATTCGGCGATAGAATATTGTGCAAACACAGCCACACACTCGGAAGCGGAGCCTGAATACGGCACGCTGAACTGTACCCACGTCCCTCTACTCCCGTGCGCGAAGTCTGGCAGTAAAGTATCCTAACTGGCCTAATGCGCCTGTCTGGATACCGAATCACAAAATCGGGATACCGTGAAATAGAAGTCTCTGGTAGGAACTCCCATTTAACAGCCTACCGCAGTGGTGTGATGATTGCCCATCGAAACAGGCCAAGCACGCACCACTCGTTTCATTAACATTGCCGGCAAAAATAGCTTCAAAACTGATTGAGAACCCTTATTACCAGGATCTATTGATTTTTGACTGTGACTGGAATGGGTGGACTGCGGCAGGCGACACTTAAGCGCCCAGCGTCTAGGTCATTTTGAACTTGGTTTTTGATTCGGCTGTGTTTGAGTACTGTTGATGTCACAATGGTCAGAATAAACAGCACCAAGACTCCCGAGAGGATGAACTCTACCCAAGTATAAAAGTCGTGTCAAAGCTCCAACGCAGCATTTCCACGATCAGGTGGAACAGGCGCAGGGAGATGAGAACACTATCGATAAGCGGGTCTCAGTCATGCACGCGTTAGCCAGAAGTATCTTGGCACAGACCTCTTCAAAACTTTAATAATGACTCTTTCAATCGTCATTATCACGATTCCCACTGCCATAACATTCCGATCCCCCACTAGTCTCAAAGAATATGTAGGATCAGGATGTGAATCGCGTGATTATTGTGTACGACGCTGCCTACCTCTAAAGCACTCCACACACGACTTAGTACCCCAACATACTCTGAAGACGGCCATCGCCGTTTATGGTGGAGTCACGAAGTAGCGTGATGTTGGGTTTGGGTTGCCAAGGCAAAAGATTTAAGACCTAAAGGGCTGAATTGTCAGTCCAGTTGCAACAAAACGCATTCCGAACAGATGTTGCAATATATGTGGGACCTTTCCAAACACCATAGTTGTGTTACGCGAGTACCGGGCATTCGGAAATTAATGTGTGGGGTTCCGTTGGACATGTATGCCCGTTGCGTGTGCGCCCATACCAGTATCTTGGTGGGAGCCAACACCCGGCCGCTGATGAGGGCACCGGGTAGAGATGCGTAATAACTCACCCTTCCCAGGGTGTATTTAGATAATGACCACAAGCACACATGCACCAAGTAGCCGAATGTATTTGCGGGCATAAACGCTTAAGCGGGTTGTCGGCCCACGGTCGCGGGCAGTCCTCTGACAGGTGCCACAGATGTCATGACCGACACCTAATTTGATCGGATATTTTTTATCGGTATCTTCTTTATTTACCCATGAGAACACCTACACCTGATTAGATGGTACCGAACAACTTTTCTCGATCAAATGCAGAGCCCTGTGGTCACAGAATGGCCCTTTTGACAACTCCCCCGAGCTGAGATTGTCGCGGCAGTGATATTTACATGGACACTGGAACAATCAGTCTCAGCGTTCTAACGGCAATTGCTCAGATCTGAACTGTCCGGCTTAGGCTCTCTACCAGCACAGATAAAACTAGGCCTAAGGCAGGAAATTTGGCTGTAAAATGACACTCAAGACGGCCTGTTCTGCAGAACGGCAGGCGCCAACATGTCCTTCCAGGAGCTGCAGATAACCGTGCGGCACTCCGATGTGACTACCAGTGAATTCTAGGATGTATAGCGTTCAAAAAGGCTGGAGGTCTCAATTTTACAGACTGCCTGCTGCACACCAGAAGACAATGCGGCAAAACCTTCTAACGCGACCGTTTGTCAAAGGTGTTTTAAAGGTAACTAACTAGAGGAACAACCGAAGTCTACACAGGTAGTGTGAAGACGGTTGATTTCTATGGTGACAGTCAATCGCACAGGTAGTAGATGAAGTCATCAATGCTCGTCACCCAAGGGAGAGATTCCTGTTGAGATTTTCAGTGGGCGCGTTCATTGCTACTACCACGTTCATCTTCACTGAAAACATACTTATGGTCCCACAATGTAAATCATAAAAGTCTGCATTACCTACGAAGTACCTTGTTCAGAATTCGTTTATCTACACCTAGAGGTAGAAAAGAGCACTAGAGAAAGTATTTGCCTTATTCCGTTCAAAATCTACATAATACTACAGACTAGTTTTTCGGAAGCTGGGAATTAACGCTGTAGGACACACAGGCCAACGCATGCTGTCTGCCACTTCGTGCAATGGCCAGGCCCATGCCCTTTCTACCTCGGTGAAGAAGCAGGACTATTTTATGATTAGCCCGCATTGGATAAAGGAAAAGCCTGAGGTCATACATACCATACGACATGAAAGCAGGAAAGCCAATAATATACAATATTTGCGAAAAAGGGAATTTACACTCCGATCCGGCGAGGGTACATATTTAACATTAACGTCGGGTACGTGGCCTCTTGGGACGTGTAGGGGGGGTAGAGGGACTAAACGGAGGCGAACGTAAAGACTGAAGACGGTTCTGACGCGCTTCATCCGAATCCGGTCCCTCTTCCTCTGAGTAATCAGTGAGTTCATCAGGAACATGACCGGCGTCCTCCTCCTCATCATCCTCCTAAATAGTCAATGAAAATAAGCCAAGTAGGGAGGAGTTCGTCATGGGCATAAACGGGAAATCGTACAGCGGCGGTGTAGACATACCACGCTTGCAGGATGTCCCCTGTTATATCGTAGGGGTGAGAGGCAAACCGTTAGTCAGTCGAAAGCAAATTTTAGAGATAACTGAGTGTAGATGAACTAAGGGATGGGTTCAAGGATTTCACATGCCGTACGCAAGCTATCGACTGGAACGAAGGCTTTCGCTAGCCCACTTCGGGCATTCGGAAGATAAAACACTACCGGTGGAGGTCGTGTATATCATGCAGACAGACATCTGCGACAAAGACGGTTTATCATCAGAAACAACCAAATAAGGCATGGTTCCCTCCTAATGTGTTCTTAATGGTATCAGCTCATGTGATATACGAGACCCCTTCATTGAAAACCTGGCCTGTGTAGTTTTGGGGAACGACAGCTCGAGCGTCGATTCCGACGATGTCCAACGTGTGTCCCACAACAGGGTGGGTGCAGGTAAGGTTAATCTGCGCGTGAGCAAGTTTACGGTGACAGTAGACTTGCGCTGCGCCTACCGCACTCCCACATCCTTTCCAACCTGGGCCTGGCGTCATGAGAGTCAGGAAGGTCAGAGGCGCGAAAAGGTACGGGCGGCTGGCGCGCCATGAACCCGCGCCCAGGCGTGCCCACGCACCCCTGGTTCGCGCACAAACGATCAGGATTTCACACAACAAGAAGGGATGGGCTCAGATCCCAACTGAGTGGAAGTGTCGTAGGGTCCACAGCAAGGAGCCATTGCAGTTTGACCCAGTCTACCGGCCACACACTCCACAAAAACGCACCGCGATAACGGCGAGGTCGAGGGCGAATCGTCAGTTGGCAACTTTCTAAATCACAGCTTTTAACGCACCGTGACAGCTTCAAGTGCGCCAGATTGTTTATAGTAAGGGGAACGCGCTGAGAGCCGACCACACTCTCTCGCTGACTCTCCATTCCCTTGCTCCAATCAATCGTCCGAGCCGGCCTGACCAGGCTGATGTGTGAGGCAAACATGCAATCGCAATGAGAACATTTTGGGATTGAGTCTGCATTGCTGGTGGCGGGAACGGTGTTGGTGAAAGTAGTGGTTGACGGAGCGTCAGGAGCGTTCTTACAGGTGGCGGGAGTGGGGGGTGGTAGTCATCGTCACGGGTGTTGTCGCAGGGATGACTGAGGTGACGGTGATCGACGGATGCGGACATTAGGTGTGGTCACCGGTAGTGGGGTTGGTCGTCGTTTTGGACGCCGTGGGGCTTGGAGAAGGAATGACGATGGGGGCGTTTGCGGGAACAGCTGATCGGAGAGCTGTGTCGCAGAGAGTGACGCTAATAAACGTCCCTCTAGCTGTGGAGAATGAATATCGCAAGTCCGCGTCCAAATAGATAGCCCAGTATTCACAGTCATAGAGGAAGCCGAATCTGACGGAAGGCTGTTCTACTGCGGATCTTCTCAATGATGGAAATCAGTCGACGGAAGTAGTCGCCTACTCGGGCCAGTAAACCCTAGGAACACTGTCCATGAGAGTGAAAATGGCGTCCCCACTGCGGCCGTCTGGCAACAACCTGGACCGAGATATATAAAACCGTCTGCCTGAGGGCTGGCAGCCACTAATCATGAGAGTTGCTTTCCCCTTGTCAAATATATACAGTGGGTGGCGAGTCTCATGAAATGTTCACCGAAATTCTGAAGTGTGTCTTCGATTCGAAAGGCAGTGATATTCACGTGGACACTCGAACAATCAGTCTCAGCGTTCTAACGGCAATTGCACCGTTCGTTCCATCTTTCTACTCAACAATGGGCACGTGAATGATAGAACCTCAATACGACGACTTATTCTCACTTTCGTCCTGTAACCCCACGGAGTCAGGGTATCAATGTTTAGGTACAAGACTGACGGACGGCAGCAAACTCAGAATGCCCCGTTGTTGCCTAGCCTCAATATTTACTCTGTGATTTCCTCCCGGAAGGCTACATGATCTGAAGGAAAAAAACTTCTGAAAGGGTGACAACGAAAGCAACCAGTCAGTTTTTCAAGTTGAGAAGGGGCTAAAAGTGCTCATAAAAACGTTCGACTATAGCCAAGGGAAAAGTCACTCCGTGCAAGAGGTTTACAATTGATGCGGCCGATAGGGTGGTAGTTCTCGCCTGTTGTTGACGTTTTGGGTATGCCCAACTGATGGTCCCAATTGGACGTAACAGTCATCGTAGTCATCACTAACCGAATTTTCCGTCATCTCGTGGATCTCGTGAGAAAATGCATCATTGCTGAATCCAGCCCATCTTCTGCAGTCAGTGCGGCATTGTCGGCTGAATCTGGGTGCGGACTGAGGGCTCCAACGATAATAAACTGTCACTGTTTTATTGAATCCGAGCTGCAAGACAAAGTCAGATCCCTGCTTTTAGAGTATTGGCTATGTTAAGCTGCCGAATCTAGCGAAATCGGGGCGTCTGGCACTATACTGTAGAGTGTGGTTGAGTCAAACGTTCAGGCGCGTAAACACTAAGACACGTTCGGACCCAAAGGTGTCAGTAGCTCTGGCACCAGCGAGGCCTCTGGTGGCAGGAGACCAGCTATGGTACCTTTGGCTGAGTGGAAGGGAAACAGGCTAAATGGATGCAAGAACGTTTTTTGGAGTAGCAGGTCGGCAGGTGTTTGTAGCGATGCAGGGGGACGTATCGTTGAAAAGCCGCCACTTATAATCAACAATATTAGGTACTCTTCTACCAAGGACGCATTGATAATCCAAATCAGAGCTACCAAGAATGACTTGCCCAATCCTGTCCGGCCGTTTTGGGTACTACCAACAATTAACAGCTTATGTGAGTTTGTCAACCAGCTCTTGCAATTGTTGGCACAAAGTAGCACCGCCACCCCGATACCACATTCAAAACAAGAGGTGTTTCCCTCGTAGGAGATTCAGTTTGCCTAATATTTTGTCGTACCACTAGATTGTGAATTGCGTCGGCTACCCAGGGTGCTATAGTACGGCCTGGCTGGATTAGTCGATATTTATTGAGAAATCCTAGGAAACAAGGTAGGGGAAAGCCAACAAAGATCTAGATTGTTTTTTTGTCGGAATCACCTCCGCAGAGCATTAGCTTGTTGAAGCAAAACCGAAAGGTAGATGACTGCTGTTCACGGTCGCTGTGTCAAGGTGTCACCGGCGGGCCTCGCCTGATATAGGTGGCGCAGTCAGTCTATCAGGCTTTGAACCCCAATATCAATGCAACCGTCGCCTCGGTTGCGAGACTGCTCAGTAAACAGACGTAAAACTTGGACTGTTTTGCTTGAATCCTCCGTTGAGAGATGTTGGCCCAGCTGCCACCTATGGGAGTCCAGCAAAGGCAGAAGGCAGGCTAGCAAAGGGTGCGTCCAGCTTAGTCCTTTGTCTCTAAGGCATCCCATGAAACTGAGGGCACGGCCTGTCGACAGATTGCAATCGGAGGCGTCGGCTCTCCCTTGAAAAACGGTCAAATCGACAAATGGCTACCTCGGAAACCAAAAATCTATTATCCTTATTTGCAAGTTAGCGTGTTTTGAAAAGATCGAAAAGGACCGAGTTCCAGGTTTACATTTTAAGAATTCCCCATTCTTTGTTTTTACCATGGCCAACAACCCTAGAGAGAATACGTCAGCACACACATACTCCAAGGATGGGAGATGAATTTTTAACAGAATGCAAAATAGGATATAGAGGGTTATTACCTCCTGCTGTGAACTGGAACCATCACTGCCTTCATCATCTTCAGAATCACTGACTCTAATTGGTCTGCGACTGGTTCGCGTCTGTACTGATGAGTCGTTTCTAACAACAACCTGGCCGTCACTAACAGAAGTCTCGTCCTCCACATCGAAAACTCCATCATCAGACGACGGCAAATCAGCCGTTTCATCCTGAGTTTCCTCCCCATTTTCACTGTCGTTAAGGAGTGAAAGACTGGATGCATCAGTTTCGTTCGCTTTTTCCTCTTCGTCCTCCGCGTTCTCAACAGAATACGTTTCAGAAAGTCCCTTCGTTAGCCGACGGCGCTTTGTGGAAAGGCCGAAATCGTCATCCGAGTCTAGAGCGAAAAGAACATCAATGCCGAAGTCAATAAATATGACAATCACAGATTTGGTTTAGTTACACGGTCTACGAAGTCTTGACCGTTGCTCGAGTCTGCGACTTCTGCTGTGTTGCAGGATGAGCGACAGAACCCTCGTGGGAAAACTTGCGAAAATAGATTCCCTGAATGTTTAACGAGGAGCATTCTTAAGGAATTTTAAGATCGACGACAGTTATTGGGTGTTTAAACGGAAAATAATACAAGCCCAAAACGTCCGCTCCAAAACCCGCTGCTGAAGTCACTAAGGTCATAGTTATTCAAAACAATTTCGAGTCGAGCACCTGTGGCAAGCATCGACATACCATCAACAAACACGTAGCCGGTGCGTATAAAATGTTCAGGCCGAGTGGAGTTTCTGGTTGGTTTGGAGTGCTCGGCTTTTTTGGAAATCTCTGCGGCTGAGTTCACAAGGTCGTAAGTACCAGCTAATGTACTGCTGTGCGAAAGGAGGCGCGTAAAGGATGGACGGCAGGCCTCAAGATGGGATGATAGCTGTGAATGCTGACATATCTCCGTGAGCCAATACAGTGCACGTCTGACCCACTCTGGATGCCGGTCACTTGTAACAATTTGAACAAGTATGTCGATTAATTTATTCAAATGCCTTGGGCTGGAAGCCACTCGGTCTAGCGTTCGGCGGAGCCATTTTTTATTTGTACGCTGAACGAAAACCTAAAACATGATAGTAAATTATATCAAACACCATATTCGATCAAACCTGATTGAAGTTTTCCGAGTTTACAAGAAGACCATCAAGGTCGGCTAGGTCTGTCTTCGGAAAGTCCTCCTAATGCGAGTATGTTTGTTAAGGCACAACAAACCGATGGGGAAGAAAATTTGCCAAGGGACTCTGTTGCCATGTGTAACGATCTAGAATGAATTGGTAAGACGAGGAGCCAAGAACGCCATCATGTACAAAACACAGAAACAAAACGGGGTGGTGATTGCGAAAAGTGTTAGTATTGCATTGCTGGGATAAAATAATAATAATAATAAAATATCTAGCAAATAAAAGGGCTAACGACGAAGACGCCTAATAGCAAATGTTATCATTATGCGGCATATTATGAGCATTTTTGTGTTAGAAGAATGTCCGCACGCTGATTGGCTCAGGTACTCGCGCGATGGAGCGATTCCAGGAACTGTCAGTCAACGTCATGACTTCGACTCGTTTACTTGTGTCAAGTGCTGGAGCACAGAGCTGGCACATTGTCAATTCGCATCGGTGTGGCCCCGACGACAGGTATTTCCATGGTGGTCAGGCAACAGCGTAATGGGGATTTTCAATAAACGCCGCACCGTGGGGGGCGGACAGTCCGGAGGTAAATGGGTACACTCATAAAGCAGGGTTTTGATTAACATCCCACCTCTGGTTTCGGTGATTTGAGCGTCTAACGCGCTTTGCCTTGGCGGTAACCTTTATTCGCCCGCCCGTTTACTCTTTGTGGTTGACTGCCTACATGTTCCCTAGAGGGTCGAAGCGATCTTTTAGAAGGCGTATCACGCGACATCATCAGGGAGTGGTGGAGAATGCAAAGAGAAAGGCCATCTCAGCCTCGTCTTCCGATTCGTCCTTTTCCAACCTCGGAGTCAGGATCGGGGTACACGATGAGCAAAAATGAATGATAATTTCACAATTTTACAGATAGTTTCGGCGATGTTAATGTGCAGAACTTGCGTATGCGCAGTGCAGGCACAACAAATACAGAAGCTGCAGATGACAAGCTGACCATGAGGGAAGTCAGTTGGTAAGCTGTCCACTCACGTGCATCACGCTGTTACCTGAAGGCATTGCTATCCCTGCTTAAACTGTTTGTGAAAGATGTGTACTTAGATTCAAAAGCGACATTGTGGACAAGAACCACATACAGTGTAGCTTCAATGTCGAGAGGGCAGTAAATACACCTTGGCCGTGGAAATCAGATAGATAATACCGTCTTACTTAGGATGAGTAGTTTCCAGTACGAAAAGGAGCTGGTATAGACGAAATACCGGTTCGTCGTAAATCGAATGGGAATTTTGGCTCATCTTGGGGAAAATTATAAAACCATGAAAAAAGCAGCATGTTTTTGTGGAGGTTAACTATGGTTCATAGAAACCGAACGAGACCGTCTTGCACTGTCATCAAATCACGCACAAGATCCGCGAGGCTACAGAAGACGGCATAAACAGTGCACATTTGGGGTGAATATCAAGAGTTAGTTTCCGCATTTATCTGTAACGCATTAGCACCAGATTATTAAGCAAGCGTGGAGAAATGAGGTCGTTCCTGATAACTGGTGCTCGGGTATCCTTGCACCTGTATTCCGGAAGGGAGATAAGACGAGTGCGAGACCTACCGTGGCATAAACCTCATCAACGATGTCACGAAGACTTCAGCTACTGTGCTTCTCAGGCGATTTCAGGATGTGTGTGACTCTAAGACGAGACCCAACCAAGCCGAATTGCAGGCTGGGCGCGGATTCGCGGACCAAATATTCGCGCTGTGGCACATTCCTGAATTCCGCCATAGCTAGCTGCAACCGATGATTGTCTGCTTCGTTAACATCGCCACCAAGTTTGATTCCGTCCATTCTGAGTCCCTGTGGCGAATATTAGAACTAGATGGTATGCCGGAAAAAAACCATCGCCATGGTCAACATCTACCGTCGCACAACAAGTGTGCGAGTCCTGGTCCAAAGGAATCTCTCCCAACCGTTCGATATTCGGTTTGGCGTTCACCAAGGCTATATCCTGTAGCCCATTCTATTCAACTACGTCTCGGATGGGCCCTACACAGAGCCGATGGTGTTGAGTCTGCTTCGAACGCCGGCTGACTGATCTCGACAATGCTACCAATATCGCCTTGCTAGCCTCAATTTTTGGTGATTTACAGTCTGTGGTGTCACGGGCAACGGGAGCCAGTGATTCCGCCGGTTTACCCATGAACGCTGGGAAGACCAGAATGTCTTCGAGTTACATCCCTGACCAGGAGAAGGGCCCTGTCGGGATTAATGGCTTCCAATTGTAAATACGCTGGAGCAAAGCTAGTTCAGAATAGACAGAGTAAGGACGATATTGTCGTCGAGTCGATGCTGCTCGTAGGGTTTTCACAATCCTTGGCAAGTTTCTTTGGACCCGACGCGACATTTCCATCGCCACGAAGACCGGAGTGTACCGGATATCAGTCCGGTCAGCCCTATAAGGCTGTGAATACTGGGTTGTTTGCATAGAGAATGAGTAAAAACTGAAGGTGTTTGAACATCACTGCCTGAGGACCTTATTTCGAGTGAAGTAAACCAATTTTGTCTCAAATGAGACAGTTTGTGTTAGCTGCGACATCGCGCAGATATCCGAGGTCATCCAAGAAAGACGACTTATGTGGTTTGCACACGTTCTTAGTCGTGCGCCACATGAACTCAGTGTTGCTGCCCTCGATCCGGTGCCATTGTCGACCTAGAGGCGTCGAAGGGGAGTCTAACTCAGGACCTGGCTTATTATGATTCGTAAAGATATGGAGGTGGTTCTCGGGCCTTTTATATTTGGTCTCCGTCGCTCGAGGGGAGAATGGCTCGCGTGATCCAGATCCACTGCTGCTGTAGATCGTCAAGCCTGGAGACGCACAATCCACGATATAATCGAGGCCAGCTAAATCTGGCATGACCATTGTTGTAACTTAATGATCACCAGAAGGGATGAGCATGTAGTAGGCATTTCACCATTCCTGTCATGTTGCATTAGACTCATTTCCCATCTTTTTTAGATCCAGCGCATCTAGTTTACTTAGGATTGCTTAGTTTGTGCGTCGGTATCCCACGGGATGCAAGTTACAGGCAGTACTTGTAGGCATTGCGTACTGCTAGAAACAGATTACTATCCATGAATAACTTTCTTCCGCGCGAAATTATGTAAAGGTAGAGAAACGTAGGGGAATTTAGTAGATGAAGAGCACTGGAATAATGATTTTTTGTTCCATACTGGTTTTATTGTCCTGTGTGGTGTACTTCCACAACACGTTTCTGTGTTTTTACGGCGAAGGCTTAATGCTGTATAATGTCAATAGTAGTGAAAATCCGATTCCCAGGTGGCATATCAAAAGAAGAGTGGGCGTTCACCGGGAGGGGTTTATTTGAGATCCGACGTTTCGGGTAGTTTACTCGTCTACCCATCTTCAGGGACTGAGAGGTCCTGTGCACAGCACTCCTTATTATGGCGCCCTTTGTCCAATGCGTGATCCGCCAATGCCGCCTGTGTGGCTGCATCCAACCCGCATGTCACCGTGACCTGAATCGCCCCCGTCGGCCGCGGTGATGACTGACGGCCCCCATTGTCCCGCGCCGTGACTGTCCCCCGCAAAGAAGGTTCGTAAAGTCAGATAATGTTCACAGTATTATATACATTTCCGGCGACGTTGCCAGATACGAACAGATGGACACCTTTTCGTTTCATTTTAAAGTTATATAAGCCAGCTGAATAGGCTCTTGTGGAAACCAAACAATAACCTCAAAACAATAGCAATGACTTTACAAGTACGGTTGATGCGCTATCACATGAAATGTTAGTCGAAATTCTGAAAGCGCTCTCAGCCAGAAAAGATTACTTAAGTAGTGCTGTAATATTAATTATCGTGCCGCATAGCACTAAGATATTCCAGTCACATCAGGATGCCGGCTTCCGAACGAGGTTCTTATCGACCGCCTGCTTAAACTGCATTTCGTAAAAAACGACTGCTTAGGTTGTAGGAATTTTTCCCATCGATTTTTGACACCCCTATAAATTCAAATATATTTTATAGAAAATATGCACAACAATATTCCTTCTTCTCCTTGTTTGCAAACAAATTAAGTCTCCTTCAAATTTTGCACTTGAAAAAAGAGTACCTTTTGGTTTCCAGCTTCAGGATTTTTCAAGACCGTGAAATGTCCGAACATACAGCCTTGCATCGGCACATTTATTAATGCTGTCTTTCAGGTGGACAACGCGGTTCACATCCATTACAAAATTTTATGAACCGTACATGTTTTTTGCGTAACAGTATATTGAGACGCATGAGTTTCTTAGCACGAAAAGTAGATAGTTTGTAGCTCGGAAACGCTGAATGTGAGTATAACGGTAGGTCGGGTCCAAAATTATTCGGGAACCGAGAAATTTTATTAAAACCGGAAGATACTCTTTCTCCGCGTACAAAATTTGAAGAATACGTAATTTGTTGCCAAATGGGTAGAAGAAAAAATATTTGCGCATGTTTTCTATAAAAGATGTGTATTCATAAGGTTATCAAAAATTAGTGGAAAACACTCGTGCTACTAAAGAAGTCATTCGTCAAAAGATATGGTTTATTCAAGCGGATGATGGGAAGCTCATTCAAAAGCCGGCATCCTGACGTGATTGGAATATCTTAACATTATGCGACGCGATAATTCATATTGCAACCCTACTAAAGTAATATTTTGCAATTAAAAACATATTTCAGAATCTTAGGCAACACTTCGTGAGATAGCATATCTACTGTGGTCCGTCTCACTAGCGAAAATCTGTTAGTGGAAGCCTGGGGAAACAACGGGGATAACCTGACGTCCAAAAACCCTAACAACGGACACTTACTGTCGTCGCTCCACTACGACGTGTTTGAACTGTCCGCAGTAATCAGTTCACTGATTGTCGGGACTTCTGTAGCTGACCGATTCGTCCGGGTAAGTAGGCAGCCGATGTGAATCAGAAGCATTTTGCGTAGTGGTGGCGAGAGTTACCACATAAGCTACCAGCTTTCATAGACTCTTCCGATTCCTTTACTTATTTCTGGCGTCCTCGTAGCTTAAAGTGTGCAAGGCACGTCTAGGGAACTAGATTTTGCTAAGAAAACTGACGGACGATCTGAAAA